ACACTTCACACAAGATTTAGTTGTTTACTTTTGACACTCCTAAGTAAATTTGCAAGACTCAGACTCTTATGCATGATCGGTTTGTTAATAAATTCATCTAATAAACCTGATCAAACAATGGTAAACTTTGCAACGCTGCAAGTGAATTTGATCCACAATGTTTTGAATCAACGAATTTTGCCTTAAGGTTTGTCTTTTTATACTTTAATCACAATCTTGTCGCAATTTTTTTAATCCGGAAAGAAATTAACATCAGTTTCTTTCAATTAATCATTCCCACATCACGCTGTGTGGTGTTATAGATGATCTGATTACTGTAAGTTAAGCATAATCGATTGTGGAAAAATAATCGATTAATCGGGAGCAGCTCTATAGCAGTGTGTTGGTTTAATTACCCAGTCATGATATTACACAATTTACAAAATACAATATACATGTGATGAACCGATCAAGTTTCCTAACGTTCTTGTCCTATTGACTATGTGATCAGTCTTTACAACTACACAAGCCAAGTGGGCAAAGCCCGCAAAGGCATTTACAACATCAAATTGCAGGAGAATATATACCTTGTGTAATGATGGCGTTTTCCTGAGCAACTACTTTATGCAAACTAGAAAGCATTCTTCATTCCCATGGTTAGTGGCTTAGTACTGTAGGTTGTGGTTTCGTTTGACAGGTTACTGCATCCCAACTTGGCACATTGAATAGAATCCGACGATGATGGGTTATATCTTCCTTTGGGGTTCCATCACTGTCAAAACTGTGGCTGATGTGTATTGAATATGGTATCTGGTGCAACATCTGTTGTGACTTAACAATCTTCCAAATTTGGAACAAACGGAAAGCTGTTGATCAATTCTCATAGTTTGCAAATGAACGAGTTAAAGTCTACAACACAGATTAGTCATCACTGTCAAGACTGTAGTTTTGTCACTGTTGTGCATTGATTATTGTCTCTAGTGTGACTTGACATCTCATTGGGGGAATAACAATTTCTTCCAAATTTGTCACAAACGCGAACTGGCATGAATTCTGATGGTTAGCAAAGGAATCGAGTTAAGGTCTATAACGCTGCTGATGGTCCACATGTGTCCTTTGTCATTTTACTTCCGACTGCTTGACGTCTCTTCGAGTCCTTTCTCTACTGTTTGCCTTCAAACTGATCGGTTTTGAGACAGCGGGCAGTCTAAAATGAGTTAGATTGTGTATTGTTAGTAATAAATCATTTCAAACTCAATGATGATGATCTATTCAATGTTTATGACACAGGGTGTGGTCGCTCGATCTAGCCTAATCATAAGCTCATCAGCTGAGACCTAAAAGGTTTGTTTTAGGTGAGAGGGAAACTGAGGTATCCAGAGAAATTAAACATGTGCACATGCAGGAGAGAACCATCAAAATTCTACTGACAAGAGTTTTCACCATAGGAAAATAGCTTTAAGCCCCGTTTACACTACGCTCAATTTTTGGTACGGCACGGATAAAATTGGTACCACTTTTTTGGTTAGGTAAGTAGTCCAAGAACCAAAAAGTGGTACGGTACCAAAAATTGAGCGTAGTGTAAACAGGGCTTAGCTAAATATAACCTGAGTATCAGGCCGTACTTTTTAGGGCACAGGCACGCCTGATCGCGGGCGAAGAGAAAAGTACGGCCTGACACAAAAGCGGCATTTTGCCTGGTTATTCAGTCCAGAATCTGGACTGAGCGCTGATTGGCCAATTAGACAAACGATTTTTTAAATCTGTCATTTGATTGGCTGGTGCTAATTAGATTATACTATTGTTGTTGATATATTTTATAACGATCACAACTACAATTATAGCCGGCCCACTAAACGGCTGAATTTAAATTAAAACTGCAGTAAAATTAGAAAATAATCGCAAATTAGCAAAATATATTGCAAATGTAGCTTATATTAAATCGCCATCACATTGCACTATCGACTAACTGATGTATAGTTATAAAGTATACTTAATATATATATATATATACTTTATAATTATACGTCAGTTTGTTGATAAATACGGCAAGCGCCATGTAAAGCTCATTGTAGTTACTGAAACCTCTGCGGAGGAGAGAGCAATCGGGTGGCGATTTAATATAAGCTACATTTGCAATATATTTCGCTAATTTGTGATTATTATTGTTAATTTTATAAGTTCATTGCAGTTTTAATTTAAATGCAGCCGTTTAGTGGGCTGTCTATGCTATAATTAGATTGTTGTTGTCGTTGTGTGAAATTTAAATTTCTCCTGCGACATTTTGATTGGATACTAAATATAAACTTTGCTGTGGGCGGAAAGCGATCAGGTTAAGTTTTGTGTCAGGCTCTATTTGTAAAATAGAGCCTGATACTCAGGTTAAGCTAAATAGGTAGTCCAAGAACCAAAAAAGTGGTACGGGTACCAATTTTATCTGTGCCGTACCAAAGATTGAGCATAGTGTAACAGGGCTTTAGTGCAGCACACTGACGCATCTGCCACTGTTAACTAAATATTCCTGTGTATGCATATAATGGGCCATTGTACTTTTTATCCACACCCCCCTATTGAGGACATCTGGAATTTCCAATAGCCAAAAATGAAGGAATTGCCATGGGAGGTTCCAAATATTAAGGCAAATCTGTGGAAATTCCACAGGGCAGGTATGAAAAATGACTAAAATTTATGGAATTTCCATGGGATGATCAACAATGAAAAAGAAAACCCAAAGGATAGGATAAAAATCAGCAAGGAATTCTCCAAGGGATAGCTACCAATCAAAGAATAAATATGGAATTTCCACTGGCTAGGTCAATGGATTTCCATGGGATGGGTTGGAAGTTAACCAATCGAGTGACAGCACTCCCCCCCCCCCCTGATGAATAAATCGCCTGGCATTAGACAAAGTAAAATAACAAAGTTGGGTACATTGCTCAATTACCATTGTTTCTTGCCCAACCAACCAATAGCAGTGTAAAGCTGCTCCCATGGATTAATTTTTGCAATCGATTAATCGTTGTCAACAATCGATTAATATTGATTAATAGTTTTGATAATCAATTTGAATATGACATGCTCAATGGTGGTTTGACAGGTTTGTAAAGTGAACTGTTTACTAAATTTTGGGGGTTGCACCAATCAGTATACACGTTTTAAATCCAATTTAAATCACAATTATAGATTGCGCACTTTCTCGCCCTCTTACACTTCACACAAGATTTAGTTGTTTACTTTTGACACTCCTAAGTAAATTTGCAAGACTCAGACTCTTATGCATGATCGGTTTATTAATAAATTCATCTAATAAACCTGATCAGACAATGGTAAACTTTGCAACGCTGCAAGTGAATTTGATCCACAATGTTTTGAATCAACGAATTTTGCCTTAAGGTTTGTCTTTTTATACTTTAATCACAATCTTGTCGCAATTTTTTTAATCCGGAAAGAAATTAACATCAGTTTCTTTCAATTAATCATTCCCACATCACGCTGTGTGGTGTTATAGATGATCTGATTACTGTAAGTTAAGCATAATCGATTGTGGAAAAATAATCGATTAATCGGGAGCAGCTCTATAGCAGTGTGTTGGTTTAATTACCCAGTCATGATTATTACACAATTTACAAAACACAATATACATGTGATGAACCGATCAAGTTTCCTAACGTTCTTGTCCTATTGACTATGTGATCAGTCTTTACAACTACACAAGCCAAGTGGGCAAAGCCCGCAAAGGCATTTACAACATCAAATTGCAGGAGAATATATACCTTGTGTAATGATGGCGTTTTCCTGAGCAACTACTTTATGCAAACTAGAAAGCATTCTTCATTCCCATGGTTAGTGGCTTAGTACTGTAGGTTGTGGTTTCGTTTGACAGGTTACTGCATCCCAACTTGGCACATTGAATAGAATCCGACGATGATGGGTTATATCTTCCTTTGGGGTTCCATCACTGTCAAAACTGTGGCTGATGTGTATTGAATATGGTATCTGGTGCAACATCTGTTGTGACTTAACAATCTTCCAAATTTGGAACAAACGGAAAGCTGTTGATCAATTCTCATAGTTTGCAAATGAACGAGTTAAAGTCTACAACACAGATTAGTCATCACTGTCAAGACTGTAGTTTTGTCACTGTTGTGCATTGATTATTGTCTCTAGTGTGACTTGACATCTCATTGGGGAATAACAATTTCTTCCAAATTAGTCACAAACGCAAACTGGCATGAATTCTGATGGTTAGCAAAGGAATCGAGTTAAGGTCTATAATGCTGCTGATGGTCTACATGTCCTCTGTCATTTTACTTCCGACTGCTTGACGTCTCTTCAAGTCCTTTCTCTACTGTTTGCCTTCAAACTGAACGGTTTTGAGACAGCGGGCAGTCTAAAATGAGTTAGATTGTGTATTGTTAGTAATAAATCATTTCAACCTCAATGATGATGATCTATTCAATGTTTATGACACAGGGTGTGGTCGCTCGATCTAGCCTAATCATAAGCTCATCAGCTGAGACCTAAAAGGTTTGTTTTAGGTGAGAGGGAAACTGAGGTATCCAGAGAAAAGTCCTTAAACATGTGCACATGCAGGAGAGAATCATCAAAATTCTACTGACAAGAGTTTTCACCATAGGAAAATAGCTTTAAGCCCCTTTTACACTACGCTCAATTTTTGGTATGGCACGGATAAAATTGGTACCACTAGGTAGTCCAAGAACCAAAAAGTGGTACGGTACCAAAAATTGAGCGTAGTGTAAACAGGGCTTAGCTAAATAGGTAGTCCAAGAACCAAAAAAGTGGTACTGGTACCAATTTTATCTGTGCCGTACCAAAGATTGAGCGTAGTGTAACAGGGCTTTAGTGCAGCACACTGACGCATCTGCCACTGTTAACTAAATATTCCTGTGTATGCATATAATGGGCCATTGTACTTTTTATCCGCACCCCCATATTGAGGACATCTGGAATTTCCAATAGCCAAAAATGAAGGAATTGCCATGGGAGGTTCCAAATATTAAGGCAAATCTGTGGAAATTCCACAGGGCAGGTATGAAATGGAATTTCAACAATGAAAAAGAAAACCCAAAGGATAGGATAAAAATCAGCAAGGAATTTTCCAAGGGATAGCTACCAATCAAAGAATAAATATGGAATTTCCACTGGCTAGGTCAATGGATTTCCATGGGATGGGTTGGAAGTTAACCAATCGAGTGACAGCACTCCCCCCCCTGATGAATAAATCGCCTGGCGTTAGACAAAGTAAAATAACAAAGTTGGGTACATTGCCACTAAACAGGTTAATAAAAAAATTGTGGAAATTATAAGGGTTAAGGCTAAAATTCAATAAATATCTGTGGAAATTCCACAGGGGAGGCTAAAAATTCACCAAAAATCTGTGGAAATTCCACGGGAGGACAGACAAAAAATGGATGTCCTCAATAGGGGTGGGGTTGGTTTAAAAATGCAATGGCCCAATCACCCATATATTTGATAAATATCATTACAAAAATTTGATTAAAGTCAACTAGTCATATAAGGGAGGTTTAAAAAGTGAACAACAAAACCAGAAAAAAACCCTTTGTCATTATAGTAAGCGCCAAAGTTCAATTTTTCTGTTTGCCGATTGATGCGCGTCAACCGTGAAGTTCCAAAGTTCATGTTCTTAAATTTATTATTAAACATTTACGGTGTTCCATTTATCTAGTTTTGGATTCGAAGTTCACTCTAATAATCTTTGACACTTATTTACTATATAACAAAACACTTATTTGCTGACACCTCGGGAAGTAGTGTGTTTTGTGGCCCCGCAAACTCGGGCAACAATGACAGTCTCGGGTCCACAAAACACACCGTTTCGTTCGGTCAGAGTAAATAAGTGATACAATTATCACTAGAGCCATATCAGAGCCCATACCAAAAGTTACAGCATGACTGAGTGAAATTCTGGCCAAACCAAGCAGTGGTAATTGAGTGAGACGGAACCAAACATTGGTTTTGTCTCTCTGCCCGTCACGATTGAGACAATTAAAATAGTATTGGGTCAATCCAAAAAACATCCATAGCTCCCCCACGGAGGAAATTGGAAGTTAACTCCCCTACCCCCTTCGGATGTCCTAGTACACTTACAATTATCAGAAACAATTTTTTCTCCCCTCTCCTCGGACAAAAATTCCCTGTGGAAATTTTCTGTGTGTGTGTGTTTCTACAGTAGTGCTGTGAGAACTGACAACGTCCCTCTTGAGAATAGGGGAGAGCGCTGGTGCTTAATGGGTTAACTGGCCTATCTGCCCACATGTCTAGTTAATCCATTGAGTCACATTGCACCCTGATGCACCCTGTACTTTAGTATTTTACTCTGCCTAATGCCAGACGATTTTACTTGTCAAGGGGCGAGCACTGGCGCTGAATGGGTTAAAATGCACCTTTTTAATAACCAGTTGTGTTTATATTTAATACTTTGTCTTTGTAAACTTGTAAACTGAAACAACTATACCAGTATGCCATACGTATGCCAAGAACTGAGCTTGTACACCAGACTTGCCGGCTATGATCATCGTTCAGCATTGTTTGCATTCAAAACAAATCTCTTCATTGAGAAATATATGCAATAATCATTTTTCAGATTATATTTCAAGTCTTTCAAAGCTTTGTACAGGTGTATGTACCACAGAATACCAGTTATGTTTTATTTCTCTTATAAAATTTGAAGGAAACATGCTATATACTTTATTTCTGAATATATATATTAGTTTTAATCTCAATGGTCATATAAAAACAAAAAATGGACACTTTCATAAAATTCTAAAAAATAATCGGGATAAACAACAAATAAAATTCCTTAATTTTGGTACTTTTTTTTCTGCTTAAGCCCGTAAAATCAGAAAGTTTGAAAATAAGTTTGCAAACCAACATGATTTACATTCATCAACAGTTTTTCGAAGTGATACAACATTTTTACTATTCAGGAATCCTACAGAGTAATCACATTTATTATAAAAAATTCAATTTTTCAAAATTACTGGTAAACCTAATATACTGTGGTACATACCACTGGTATTCTGAAGTGATTTTAGTATTTACCTTCCACTAAATTAAGTTAGCAATATCTGTACAGTGTTATCACAAGTTAAGGAAACAAAATTTTTAGGAGTAATCATAGACGAACATTTAAATTAGAATCAACACATTAATTACATTGCAAATAATCAAAGTCAATAGGAATAATTTGCAAAGCACGTTATTTCTTAAATTCCAACATACTAAGAACTTTATATAATACATTAATTTATCCATACCTATATTATGGAAATATTGTATGGGCAAATAATTATCCAACAAGATTAGATAAAGTATGTAAACTCCAAAAAAAGTAATTAGAATAATCACACATTCTTCGTATGATGCAAACTCTGCCCCATTATTTAAAAAATCGAAATTGCTAAACCTTCATCAGATCAACGATTTATGCATTGGACAATTTATGTTTGAATTTTATAATAATTCCTTGCCTGAATATTTTAAAAATTTCTTTACTCTTAACAAAAACGTACACAATTACAGAACGAGAAACTCACATTATATACATAGGGAAAGATACCAAAGTAATTATGGAAAATTCACGATTAAGATTAAAGGAAGTAGTTTATGGAACAAAATTCCATCTGATATAAAAGAAGCGAGAACAAAAATTAAGTTTAAAAAAGATATGAAAGATTATCTATTGATGTGCATGCAATGTGTATACATGATTGTATATGCATTCATACATATCTATATATAAGTGAAGTATTTATGTAAATATATATATATATATAT